GAATAACGATCCTTCGTTTTTCAAATCAAACACGATCCAAATTCTGTAAACGAGAACTGAATGGCAATGGCGGCTCTTTCAGCAACAAGATTCATTATCAAACCATCGAGATTTCACACGCTAGGACTACTTTTGCGAAAAGAAACAGTTCATTAAATATTTTGATTATTCGCGAGTTGAACGGAGGTATACTCACGAGTCAAACAACAGCAAACGAAAACTCGAAACACGGATGAAAACTAGAACAGATCAGAACTTCTCGACGTACACTGTGAGTCACGATACGCGTCACTCTATGGTCATTCACCACACCCGATCATCCAGCACCATCTGCTGGAAAAGAATGGAGCTGTGAACTGTGAAAATCGCGGATCGAGAAAAATTCGGGCCATTGCCAGAAGTAGGTCAGGATAATACTTTGATTTTATACACTATATTTGCGTCTTGAATGTTTACAACTAGTTGTTTTTTATGAATGTTTACAACTAGTTGTTTCAGTTATGAATTATTCGAACAATATGGTTTGCTATTTTCTTCAAAAGAAGAAAATAAATTTAAAAAAATAGTTAACATTGCATTATAAACTATTGGTAAAAAACAAACGTAAAACAATAATAAACTCTTAGTTCTTTTCACAAAAGTAAAGTAAATTAGAATAAAATCTCAATTTGAAATATTTTACAAATGTTGATGTTGAGTATTTAAAAATAAATATGGCAAAAAGTATAATAAAATAATGATAACTTAATAATAAAATAAATATTAAAAATAATATAATATTTATTATGCGTTAAAAAGCTGAATAAAATATATAAAGCATATTTAGCTTAAAAATTTTGTAAGCCATGATCTGCGAGTAATTATACAGTCCTGAATCGAGAAATCATTACTATACATGGGTTACATGTCTCGTGCCGACTTGTAGCCATATAAGGATTTAACAAAGGTTAATACCATAATAGAGAAGTCTGAGAGAGGCCATTCTATCGTTTTCGTCAGACGCTTATTGATCTCTTTAGCATCGCCACCTTAATCCACTTTAATGTTGAAACTACGTAATCACATTTATTTTTTGTCATTGTTGATAAACGATAAAACCATTTAGGGCATATTCGTGTTACATTCCAAAATTGCATAAGATAATACACTCTTTGTACTGGTTTAATTATGTAATACAATACAATGTAGTTATAATTTAAAAACAGATGGAAATACTTTGCTATGAGTAGATTAAAACAGATTAGTATAAAAATAGTTTAAAAAAATAAATATAATTATTAATGTTAATCATGAATACATTTTCTTTTAAATTACAAATTGCACAACTTTTCTTATATAAATTAACTATATAATTACTTATATAAATTATATAAATTAACTATTGTGCAAAATATATACTATTTATCTTTCATTTATACTTGTGGTACATGTATAATAAAATTCGTACATGTGTGGAGTGTTTTCTCTTGCCTAGTTTATAGATGTTAATATAAATATGCCTTAAACAGTCTTGTTAATTGTCGTTTATTAGCAGAAAAATGTAGTTAAGTAGTTTCTTATTTGAAATGGATGCATAATTTAGGGATACTGAACAGTAAGCACAAAAACGGTATAATGATTGCTCTCGGACTTGTTTCTGATTAGCATTATTGAGAAATTTGAAGCAGATTTTTTCATTAGTAAAAGTAAGTAACAGCACGTTAGGAGATATTGAAAATAGAGAAGAGCAAATCGATAAGAAAATCTTATTCCTTTTTAAAAGTTATTTTTGGATGTAAAGTATAATCGAATTAGAATACTTTAGCACATCTAATTTATATGATAATTCATATTCATATATGCGGAGCATATTTAATAAAAGTATGAAAAAAGTTTCATATTTCCTCGCAATAATAGCAACAATTTTGCTTTTTATATGTATAATTTATTTCTTATAATTGCTAAAACTCAAGATAACAATTTAGAGTTTAATTAAATAGAATATTTTTAAAAGGGGTATTTTTGGGAAGAATAGCGAAATAATGCGACAAATTATGAAGTACAACAAGAGCATTGGTTTCTTTATTTGCATAATCGTAAACTTATACTATAACTTATCGTATAGAATCTACATATAATGAACCTAAATGATCGATACAGCATATATACAGAATCGTACCACATACTTGATTCTCAGAGAAAATATTTTACCGAAAAGAGGAGCGTCGTCGGAATGTAATCCTTTCTAGACGTCACTACGTCTCGCTCGTTCTTTATACTTTCTCGCAAATTATTTACATAAATTGTCGCACCTTTTAACGGGGCGATAACATAAATAACGTCAACAAGTTCTTGTTGTGTTTTCTGTACACAAAGCATCGCTTTGAGAACGGCGAAAACCGCGCAACGGAATCTCTCGATGACGCTTTCCCGTGCGCGATTTGATGAAAACGAGGAAGGTGGAATTTTAAACTATCGCACAGATACACCGTTGATAGTGATACCATTTCTGTTAGCAACCGGTTCGGCCTCGTAATGTCCAGATCTGCCGTACGTTCTTCTCGGGTGACCGCCGTATCTATTACATATTGATTTATTTAAAATAAAATCAATTCTAATTACTTATCATAACAATCGAAACACAGTTTTACAATAAGATTATCTATGAGACAATATATATTTCCAAAATGTTTGAAATATTTGTTTTTTGAAACAATTATTCGATTTACCATTTGTGTTTGCAATTATTCTAGAAAGATAGCGAATTAAAAATAATTAATTCAATAACGTTATTATACAAATACAAATTTTAATCCAAAATTATATATAGTGGGCTATATATAATATATTATATATTTTACATATTTAACATTTTAATTGAACTCACCTGTACCCGTTGTTGCCATTTAAACTATATGGGTTATCGTAGAGACCATCTTCGGGGACGTTCTCGTACATAGTGTTATGCGTACCGTCGTTCAATGTCGCGTAAGACATAACGGCGGCATTTTGATCTTCCTTCCTTTCCGCAGCTTGAACGTTCTCGGTATTTTTTACCGGCGTAGCTTTACGTCTATGGATTAATATACGTTAATTTATTTCGAAATTATTATATTTCCAAAGAAAAATAGTCACTTTGAAAGACGACACTCACAGCCTAAGATAGACTAGTCCAAGGATAATTAATATAAATATGATGACGCCGGCTCCGATGCCGACGCTTGTACCGACACCTTGAGGTTCCGCCACCTCGTTTGCAGCCACTGCGATACAAAAATACAAATATAAATAATATGCAAAAAATACAAACGATATATTATGTTAGGTTTTCCGAATGTTTCTGAACTTTTCTGACAAATTCACCTTCTTCCGCAAAATCAGTGATATTTAGCATTTAGTTCGAGCAATTTGTTGTCTGTAATATTTGATGAAAGAATTTTTAACTTGAATGAAACTATAGGAGTTAGTCAACAAAATTTAAATTTGATGGAGTACTTTGAAATGTGTTACATATTTTAAACATTATTAGCATATTTTAATAATATAATATTAGTGCCTTACGTTCGCATTTCGGCTCCTCGCCACTCCAAAATCCTGTGTCCAAACACTTTCTCAGGAAAATACCGATCCTTTCGTGTTGTGGCAAGCAGTGATACTCCGCGGCTCCCCCGTAAGTCGTTGATCCATTCACCACTATCACTCTACCGTTCTCGATCGGTCCGGGATGCTTGCAGTCGACCGCTAAAAAAACATCACGAATGAATTTTTAATCCTTTAGTGATCCATTTCAAAATTTTTTATTATTTTGAGAAAAAGATTAATTATTAAATTTATGATAGAAAAATGTATTACGTGGTATTTGACATTCACGTGAAAGGGTTGAATAAAGTTCTTCAAAGATAAATAAGAAAAAGTTTCTACGCGAAAGACAGAAAATAATATTGTTCTATCAGAGATCCTTACAAAAGCAAGCAGGTGTTGTGCCGCTCCAAGATCCATTTTGCAAACAGATTCTTGTTTCATTTCCTTCCATATAATATCCACGTGGACAGCTGTAATGCGCTACTCCGCCCACACTATGAGTTGATACTTGCGTCGATAGAACACCGGTTTTCTCGGGATCTTTGCATCGAATTTCTGTAAAGGCACGCCGTAATTAATCTTTATACAATTTGATAATTGATCTTAATTTTGCTAATTTATATTGCTTAGAAATAAAATAGTTTATCTAAAATTGAAATTAATTGGAAATTAATTTAACAAAATAGAATTTTGTGATGTATTTTTTCTGATTAAATACCTCGGCAGACAGGAGTATCACTGCTCCAGGTGCCATTCTCAAGGCATAGTCTTCTAGCAAAACCATCTAACTCGAAATTCCCGTCACACTCGTAAAGTGCAGCTGCCCCATAATACGTTGCATTCGATGTTAACGTGTAACGTCCATGTTGAATGTGTTCGGGTTTGCCGCAGTCGACATCTGTCAGAAGAATGCTTGTGTCAGACATGTGATACTTATTTTTCAATATTTTAATATTGAATATAATATTGAATATTTTGGAGTATTATTTTTAACAAAATGATTGTCATCGTTTATCTGCTTAATTTAATACATTATTGACTTGATAGAATGCAATTTCCGATCACTTGATACTTACAGACGCATTGCGGCACTTCGCCGCTCCACTTTCCGTTCTCTTCGCAGGTGGACAGTGGCTCGCCGACCACTTTGTATCCCCTTTCACATCTGTACTTTGCCAGGGCACCGATCTTGTACGAAGTCGCGCCCGTGTTCGAATTCTCCGCGGTGCCCGTGCGAATCAATGTTCTTCCGTACATCCGATCGTTTCCGGTCACCGAAAGAATTCCGTGTTCCGCCAGTACGGGTTCCGGACAACGAATTTCTGAGACGAAAAACATAAATATGGTATGGGCACACATAAAAGTAACATATTGAACGTTTATAAAACTTATGGCTAAATTTTTACAGACTATCGAGGGAGATTCGGTTGTATATTTTATGAATACCTTATAGAAAGCTATTCACATAGAAAATGTAAAGGGATTTAGATATTTTCTTTGGAATATCGCGTGACTATTGATTGTATTTCATTTGGTTTATTTAATGAAGCTATTACCTTCACATTTCGGAGTCGCATCACTCCATTGACCGTTATCCAGACAGTATCTTCTCGAGACTCCATTGAGTCTGTAATTCTTTGTACAGCTGTAGGTGATTTCGCTGCCAAGATGAGTTGTTCCATTTGCGTAGTCCACAGCGCCATTTAGAACAGGAAGAACCTTACCGCAGTCGACATCTGCATAGATAATTACTTCAGTCAGTAGTATCTTGGAAGCAATAAGCATTGTTGAGTTATTTATAGTTGAATTGTGAGAAAATATATATTTTTATAAATGAAGGAAAATTTACAATTCTAAATAACTGCAAAGATTATTAAAAATATTTTTTATATCAGGATAAATAGCTTGTTACAGAATATTCTGTAAAATTTATATTAATATTGATGCACTAAAAAAATTTTTTTAAATTTTTTATAAAATAAAGTCATCAATTTATCAAAATTGAATTCTTTTTAAATGAAAAATTGCAAATGTGAAATAATTTTTTGTCTTTTTAAATATTTGTAAAATATTTAAAGAGAAAGAGATGGTTGACTAAAGTATAAAATTTTGAAATACTTTTTCGAATGCTAATAAGCTATTCTGAACAAGATCTTGTTTAAGATGAAGGCTTTTAGTGGTCAAAACGACCTTGATAAATAGCTCCTTTCATAATACAGCACAATTATGTTATGCGTGTGGTTTCGACGGGAAAGAGATATGAATAGAGACTCACATTCGCAACTCGGTACTTCTCCTGTCCATTCTCCGTCTTTACCACACGAATGCCTTGCCTCACCGTGAAGTAAATAACCCACGTCGCAGTGATAATCGATAACACTGTGAACGTTTAGATCGTATCCCACCACGTAACCTCCGGCAGGTACTTCTGGTTCCTCACACGAAATTACTACAATGCGAAAGAACATGAAATACATCCATAGATATTAAAACATTTTACATAGATAAATTTTAAGTAAATAAGATAATAAATTATTACTATACACAGTCGATTCCGGTTAATAGGACCGGTTGGTTAATTGGGTCAGCCATTTATTTTTGGGACATGTCTTAAAGAACAAATCCCAATAGATAAAAGATCAGTGTTCGGATAATTGGGGCAGCCATTTAATTGGGCCGTTCCGATTTGTCCCAATTAACCGGAATTGACCGTATTTAAATAATTTTTTTCATATAAAAAATACACGCCTATTCCTCTTGCTGAATAATATTTAACATAGTAAATACTTGAGCTTTCTGAACAAATTAATTTTTGTATAAAATATTAAATAAGTAATTCTTACATTCGCATGACGGTGTATCGTGGTTCCACTTGCCCTCCTTGGTGCACTCTTGCTTTCCTTCGCCCACTAACCAATAATCCGCTTGACACGTGTAAACGGCTAAGCTGCCTACCGTAGATGTACCGTTAATCAGAACAACGGTTCCAAATTCGATCTGGGCTGGAGTCCCGCAGTCGATAAATTTGCATTGTGGCGCTTTGCCGGACCACTCACCACCAATATTACACGTGAGAACCTTAGTAATCAATCAGAGAATTGCAATCATAAATTAAAGAAATATTACTTTATTTTTTAATATATTTGCATTATATTTTGATGCTCATATGAATAGAAAGAAAATTATAACGAATAATAATGTTAGAAACAATAAGCGTGAATTGAAGATCATGGCAAACTTACATTATCTCCGAATAAAATAAATCCATTTTGACACGAATAAGTGGCGGTGGAGCCTACTCTTTTTCCGTTAGTTGTCACGACGCCACCGTTTATTTCTGGCGGCTCGGGGCACCAATCAACTGCAAAGTATAATAATTAGGGATATAATCGCGTCAAGCGAAATGACAAGCTAAAACGTGTATTAAAACGTAACATCTAATTTAACCCAGCACGCTAATGTGAAATTATTTTCTAATTAATGATAATGTATGCTTTTATATATAATTGTATAGTCGATTAACATCTCTATTCCGAGGAACAAGTGGCAACAAATTCAATACTGTTTATTAATAGCGCTGCTTTCATTATTTATTATTTTTATGACAAAAATAATATTTTAACAGAATTACAATTGTAGATATTTAAATATAAATGTAAACATATTTTACTTAAAACTTTACAACACACGAAAATATCTCGAATAAGCAATTCATTATCCGTAATTGCTTTTTACATACTCTACTTACATAGACACTGGGGCTGATGTCCGCTCCAGATACCGCCGTCTCCGCATCTTCGTCTCGTGTCGCCCACAAGCGTATAGTTTTCTTTACATGCGTAATCCGCGAGAGCACCGTGCGTAGTTTTGCCCTTCAGCAGCGTAATTGCGCCGTTCTCCAAATCCGGAAGAACGCCGCAGTCGACGACTGTAAAAATATTTGAAAGATGACGGAGGTCGCGCGTGACGAACGTGGCTTGTACTCACGCCATATGCTTAGCGTTGAATATACTATCTGATTCCCATGCGCATGAATAACGCAATGTAAAAAACATCTAAAATTTCTCACACATTTTTCTAGACGTCTTTGAAAGTTTTAAGATTACATTGAAAAATATCTTTACGAAAATAAAATTTATTGTCGGTATAAAATGACTATAATTCGCGTAGAAGTAATTGCGTTATCCGTAATTTATTAAATTTAATTCGATATCGTATAATCTTGCTGTTATACAAAATAAATCCAGAATCAGATTATTATATTTAATGTTAATTGCGACTGTTTAATTCTTAGTCTATGATGACAGTGATAGATGAGAGTTTAGAGTTAAAAGCCAGAATGAGATGGTCACATTTGTCGGACAAAGGTTCAAGCCGAAGAAGAAGGCAAATATGGAATGAATAAGAAGGCAAAACGGGCATTGACTTTTTCAAGGTATCATTAAAGTCACACTCACATTTGCACGTGGGTACGTCGCCGCTCCAAAAACCGCTCGGTCCACACACTCTAGTCCTCGATCCCACCAGCATATATCCGTCCGGACAGACGTATTCTATCGTGGATCCTACCGTTCTCTTGGATCCCACGAGCGTGGTGTTCTCTGATTTCTCTGGACTGCCACAGGTCGGCGGTCCTGTAAACAGATAGATAAAGTATGCGTTTTTATGAGACGTTTCACGTAAATTTTATTTCTTTTTTTTTTTAATTTGACGGCAAAAGCGACGAATTTTTTCCGCGAGAATATTAATCGGACTTTTCCGTGTCCAAACAAAATTCCTCTCGCGCTTACTGCTCTGACAGATCCAGTGAAGGTAATCGAGGTTGCAGCCGACGTCATTCCAGAGCCAGCCGCGACCTCCGTCCAACACGACGCAATTTTGTTCGCCGTTGTAGTTGTTCGGCTGGTCCTTGCCCCAGGATGG